GTGTCCAAACATACATACATATATTTACATACATACATACATACATACATACATACATACGTAGATTAACGAAGCAAAACAAAGAAAATACCTTCAGAAAGATAAAAAAAAAAATGTTAATTGATAATACCAGTATGTTGATACAGACATACACAATTCGCACATGTACAAAAACAAAAACAAAAACTAAATAAATAGGTATGTGTGTATCTATGCATGTATGCGCATTTAAGCATTTACTTATATTTGTTTACATGATTTTTTTTTCTTATATTATTTTTTTGAATTTTATCAACAATTAAATTAACCGACACGCCACATAGTCAACACACTGGCCACATCACCAGCCAACCACCAAAGCGCTGTGCGAATCTGTGGGACTCTGCAGCAAACTATTTATAACTCCGTTAGCGACGCGATAGGACTGGGCTGTCTATGTCTAGCGAGCTTCTGTGGTCAAAATACATATCTACATATATTGTATATATTTACATACATACAGACATACAACACATGTAGAAATGTTTATTTTTAAACATTCTCAAGCACATTTGTATATTTTGTATATCGGCATGTAGTATGTATGCTTGGAAGTGCATTAGAAAACACACCGAAGCATAAAAGTAAGTGAACGCGTGGGCAAAAAATTTATTACATACATATTTTTTTTTTTTTTTGGAAAATATCAACAACCGACGCTTCCGACAGGTACTTAGATTCAATTTCCGTATGCCAATTTGTGGTTTGGCGTCTTGATGTTTTTCCAACAAATGGAGGGATTTATTTTAAGCCGCCTCCGAACGGCCGATGGATTTGTATGAGATGCTTTTATTTCATAATATACAAATACACCCGGAGGACTTGACATTCCCTGTCGAGAAGCGACCGCAATTAGTTTTATGCAATTTTTTGATGTCTGGACCAAGACTGGTTGGACTCGAACCCTGGCGTTTCGAATGGCAGTACGCCAGCTATCCAGTTGGTTATTGCGGCCGACGATTGATTAAGGTTATTAAATTATGGCAAATTGATACAATCCCTATTCAAAATGTTTGCCGCATTTGGCATAAATAGAAAATGATTAACGATTACCCTTTAATATAAAAAAAACATGCAATTTACCTGCTTTTCTTAAGTATTTGGGCTTTAGAAAGTAAAAACCTGAAAAAAAAAAACTCAAACCGCGAACTAAAATTTTGTCGGATATTTTCCATCGGAATTTTCCCGATAAATTGATATACAGAACACCATTTTAGTTGAATAATCGAACATAGATGTCGACAAATAAAATCCAATTCAATCGGATTCAATTCCGATTTCAATGGAAATCAGATATTTCATATATTTTTCCTTTACGAAACTCGTATGTACGCAAACTTTTGTGACGAACTGTCTTTATATACTTACACCTATTTAAATATTTACAAATATCTACAAATTTATTTCTTTTTTGTATGTTTGATTGCGACCAAACAGCTGTCCTTGAATAGTGAAAGTGGTTGCGATAAATTTTATGCACATGCATAGCTAATCTATAAATTCCCACGTAAAGTGGGCGCGTTTTAAAAGAAAATAATCGATTTTTTCATGTTTGCACGCTTGAACTCACGCTGTTGATGATGGCATACTTCTTGGCATCTAAAGTCAGCCTCTTAATAGTTAGCAGTGACCAGAGTAGAAGATCTGAAAGGCACATTCGAACTTATTAGTCCAGACGCCCTAGGGAGTCCCCTAGGAAAATTGTTCGGTATCACTAAGATCTCAATTTTGGCGGACCTACAGGCGTATAAGCTTTGCCTGGATACGAAAATCAGACAAAACACTTCCATATCGGGATTTGAAACGTCTGAGGCCACACTGAAAAGGTGGGGTTAATTCATTGAGAATGGGCTTAGATATTCTACGGTAGTTGGCCTGGGTTTCCAACATACATATAAAGACTGTACAAAGAACATCGGACATTTTTTACTTCTTAAAAAGTGACAAAAACACTGTAATTGAAGAAAGCGATGTTTGCGTGTGTTGTCATACTTTTTGGACCAACTCCAATATTGAAACCTTAGCGGCATATTTTCATAGAATTTTTGGATCATTACCTCTGTCGGGCTGCTTCTCAAGAGTAGATTGCGTACTGCCATTTGAAAAGCCCGGGTTCAAATCCTGGTACGACGAACAAAGCAAAAAAATATAGAAAATGAATTTAAATAAAAAATTTACTTAAATTTTCTAATTGCGGTCAACCCACGGCAGAAAATGTCAGCCTTTCCGCGTGTATTTCTGACATGAAATAAGGGCTTTCATAAGAAGCCATCAGCCGTTCGGAGGCGGCTTTGTATAAACTGTAGGTTTGTTGGAAAAACATCAAGACGCAAAACCATAAATTGGAAGAGGAGTTCGGCCGAAAAAAAACGCTTTAGTGATTAAAAAGCGCCAATTATATAGCAAAGAGTTTGATCATCTTCTGCTGTTGCAGCTCTTCGACATCAAACCTGCCTTGTGTATGTTGAAACGATGCGGTCACAGCAATTTAGCCTGCTGAATTTTCATTTGCTGGAATCTATCTTTTTTGGGAATATTTTTTCATGAAGGATGAGTTTTCAGGCTGTTATGCCGAAGACAAATTCTTTGCTTAGTACTGGTATGGATAGCTCACATAGGTGCATTTTAAGCACTCCAAGAATGTATCTTTGGTAACAAGTTTCTACAGTCGAGTTGTGGGTGGAAATAAGCGGTTTCTGCAGCGGGGTATCATCTTTCCCACCACAAATCCAATACGAAATTTACACTCCTTGATATGGCTGCGGTAGTAGTTTAAAAAAAAAAATCTTCTTATTCCACCAACTGAATTGCTGGATCTTCGCAATTAAGGTTTCTAACGTTCCAGATCCATAGCCCTAAATGGTGATCCTTAAAACGTTTGCAGGGATCGGTATCGCTTAGGTCCAATTTTCGAGTTAAGACTGACGAAAGGCCGCTATTGGTTGTAGAATGCAACAATAAATAGATTATACAAAAAATCAAGTCCTTCAAAAAGATTGAATTCAGTAGAAGATAAGTTCTTAGAAGAGATGATCTAGTAAAGAATATGAATATTTAGGCATTTAGCTTCATAGCGGGCGAGCGCAGCAATAGATAGAGAAGAAGTTATAGAAAATTTTGTATGGAAGGCTCTTAATAGAGCTTCAAACTCTATATTTTTTTGTGTCACTCTAACCAAGGTCCTGGGTTTTGTAAGATTTAACCCTTGTACCATCGTAAGGCAATGAACCTCGCTTCAAACACTCCATTTATTCATTCGCGCGTCATACAAACGATTAATTATAACAATCAACAGTTAATGCGATTAATTTGAAATGGCAAATATATTTAAATATGAATATTTAATGCCAGTTGAATACAATAAGCGCCACTGATAACCTTCGGCCTATTCGCTCGAGCAATGTAAGGTGGCTTCTTACCGTGCGACTTGTTGTTAAATACTTTTAAATATGCAATTTCATATTTACATATTGTACATACATATATGTATATACATATGTACACCTATAATTATCTGTTTATTATTTACAAATATTCATGGGCAACTGTTTCTGTGTTTGTATTAAATGTAAGGTCTAAGCAAATATACATTTTTTTGTATGTACATACATGTGTACCTTTAATCAAACTCATACATATGTATATATGTATGTATGTATGTATGTACGTACTCAGGTGCATGACGACAAAAAGTGATGAAACAGTTAATAGGCGCCATATAAAACGAAATTTTATAACTGTTCAGCTAGCAACAGCTAGGGTATGAATTTCTAGGACAAACATCAGATTCAATAACTGTAGAAAGGTAAGCTCTACTGTGCTTATCTACATTGTGCATTGCCGTTACTTGAGCAAACTTTAATTGCAATGGTATGATTTATTTCTTCGTCCTAAGGAGAATAAATATTTTGCATTTACATATATACATATATATGCATGTAGAACATTACTGTTGAGAAAAATGCACTAGTTCTCTTCTCCCGGTATATCAAAATGGTATTCATACATATATATGTATGTATGTACATACAATAACCGAGTGGTTAGCATTGCGTATTGCGATTCTAAAGATCAGGGTTCGAGTGCTGGTCCGACGAAAATCCAAAATTATAGAAAGTTAAATACAGTCACCCCTCGGCAGAGAGTGTCAAGCCTTCCGGGTGTATTTCTGACATGAAAAGCAAAGTTCAAACAACCGTTCGAAGGAGGTTTCGAACAAACCGATTGGAAGAAGGGGCTCTGGCGAAAATCGCTTCAGCGGTTACAAAGAGCCATTGATATATATACATATACGTACGTACATATGTACATATGTATAATGAGGTTCGCACAAAAGTTTTAAGTAGGTATTTCATTAAATAACAATATTGCAAATACACAATCCAACTTGCATACTTATGTACATACATATGTACTTATGTATGTACATATTCAGGTAAAAAGCTGATGTGCTTTCTCAACACAAAATGCTTACAGATGTCTATTATATATACAAATACACATGCTTTCATAGTTTACACCCAAAAAGTGGGTTGCTCAGTCGGCATCAATGACGTATGCGACTAAGCGGCGCCAACACGAACGTAAACGAGGTATAATATGCCGGTTGCCGAGCAAAAACGAGTAACGATGTGCATTAGTGCAAAAACGTGACTCTTAAATGGCCTATGTATATGTGAACGATATGGCTTTTACGCCTAAAAGCGTGCCATGCTGATGCTTAACTTTTCGCATCAATACACATCATGTTAGGTACACCCCAGACATAAAATAACCAATCACCATTAATGCTAGCAGACGATGATAATGCGTGGCAAACTTATGTATCGTATGTATGTACATGTATGTACATATAGAGATGTTGAACACGTTTATCAAATGTGTATGTATGGATTGCTGTACTAAAATTTATAAATCAATGTTATATTAAAAAGTGTTTGAAAAAAGTTGCATTTACTTACTAATTTACTTGGCTCAGTTGTACAAGCATCAAATGCTTTTTTCGAGAAAGCCGACAGCAATTCAGTCAACATGTCTTCTTTAACAATTTCCTCCATTTTAAATAATCACGTTTCCTTTGCTGCATTCACTGCTAATTTTTTGCAAACTTGCTGCTTTAGATGTAAGCTTAAATAATATATATATAGATTAACGGTGCACGAGTTTAAGCGGTCACTATATGTTGTATGCTATATGAAATTTGAATAATTTTCTGCAGCACATAAAATACGTCTGCTATCAGCGGTAATTCGGATATGATTGTTTTCAACGCCACTAACTACCAACACATAAAACTGTACCGATGCATGCGAAATATGCAATATTACTGTTAATTATTACACATACATTGTATTTATGTAAAATTTAATATTTTTGTTGTCCTGTGTATATTGGCACCGTTAACTTTTATGTTTCTTCACAAAAATTTTTTTGCACATCTGTGTACATTTATCTCTACAGCGATGTATTTGTTTTTAAGCTTTTTTGTTGACGTAATGAAAAATAATTTATTTCATTTTGTATTGCTATTCTTCGCACATTCAACCAGAAAACGAACGTCGCGTTTTCCCACAAATAGAGCGTAAAAACTCGCCAGATTTGGTTAGAGTCCTTCAATGCTTTCCCAAAGACTGCAAAATGTATTTCACTGGCACTGTATTTTTCCTATTCACAGATAATGCTTGTGATTAATATATTTATTTTATTTCTCAAAACTTTTTTGCGTTTCTAATTAAAAACAACAAGGGGTAAGTGTACTTTCGAACAAGTTTCGTTGGCAAAAGCGTAAACCAGAATGACATCGAATAAAAGAGGGGAAACGTAAGCAAAGATAATAGACAGGGGCGGCATAAAAATGCAAACGACGCAGTAGCGAATGTCATGTACAATTGGAATGTAAAATAGTAGTGCCACTCAAAAACTTGGAGACATTAACATTAGGCCTGCTATCTAAGGGAAGCTAAAAATTGTATCACATAATTAGATCTTGCTTGTTGAACTGGTACTTGCACTTGTTGATATAGTTTTAAGCCTGGAAAATCTTTCTTTAGAAAGTAAAATACAGGTTATATGAAAAGCAAAACAACTATACATTTTTAACAGATATGTCCCCACGTTGTCAAGGAAGCTTTATGAATAAGCAACACATTTTTTGTCGTTGTAAATTATTCTTTATTCGAGCGAATAGCCATTCGCCCTGACTTTTAAATGTACAAAACTAATAATAAACAAAAAATAAAAGTTTAATACAAATAAGTATAAACCATTTTTATTTTTCCCCAATTGAAATTGTATTGTTAAAATGGACCAAAAAATCGCATTATCTATGTTCTTTTCTAAGCATATATTATATAATAGGCAAACTGAAAACATATATTTGTTAACTTTTGATCCTTATGAAATGCAATTTCTTGGTAAGATTCGTTCGTTTAATTTTTGTGTTATTTATTTGAAAACTTCAGGATTTAATCCACTCTTTTTCATTTCCACACAAATTTCGAAGAGATAATCATAACATTCTGACCTAAAAATATAAATAAGTTTAGGCTTATAAGTATATTAACGAATAAGCTTACATTGTTTTCGCCTTTTCCCAGCTTTTTCCCCAAACATATACACCATGACGGCGTACTAACACAGCGCTGCATCCAGGATATTTAAGCATTGCGGCATACATGCTCTCTGCTAGATCTCGTTCAAAAGGTGTATTTTCTATAATCGGCACCACTAGCTCTTCGTCGTAACGTAAATATCGTTTCATGTCGTCATCATAAACGCCCTGTTTATGAAAATACAGTTACATACATATGTATAAATAGTAAAATATTCCACAATATACATACTTTAATCATTTCCAAATGAGTGCAACGAAAAACTTCTCCGGGCCACATCAAAGTAGCCATTACGGCATGCTGCGAGTGAGTATGTATTACTGCTTGCGCACCTCGATGACGATAGGCTAGCATAAATAATGGTGTACATTGACTTTTTGTTAGCCTGGAGAAAGCAAAGATTGTTTCATCGAACACCATTTAAATATATATGTATTTAAATTCCATACATTTTATAATCCGGGGGCAGCTGTATATCCTTTCCTTCGTCATCCTGCACAAATAAATCCTCTGGTTCCATTCGCTCTTTTTGCACTCCTGATGGCGCAATGTAGATTTCATTGCTGTAAAATATATTAAATGCACTCGAAACTTTTTTATCAATTTTAAAAAATGTTACTTATATTTGATGCTCATGCCACCGCCAGTGCCTGTTACCCAACTATAATTATTTACATTATTAATTAAATATTACAATATTTGTTTATATCCCTCTATTACCCAAGATGATAGAACTGCCGACATAGTTCCGGTATTAACTTCCTGGGATGATCCTACAAAGAGATTTTATAATTTATGTATTGAAATTAAAGAAAGGATACATATACCTGCGGCAAGTCTCTATATAAAGACATTTTTCAGTAACCCTTCAACCTGCACGATGATAAATCTGATAAGAGCTGACAAAGCGATAAGATGTCTTTGAAATAAGTAAACAAGAGCATTTATGATTTTGTAAAGCTTAACAATTTTCAGTGCTTACAAACAGTAGGGCAATTTGGAAGATGGTCCATAGTTGCCACATTGATGCCAGTTTAGCTTGAGCGAACATTGACATCCATCTCACTTACGTCAAAGAACATCTGAGACGTCATCAATGCGTACGGCTAAATGACATAGTAACGATAATTGTCATTCAAGGAAAACCAATTAGGACTAAATCATTTGGAAATATTTTTTATAAAAGAATTCTTAAAATTTTTCAATTTTGTTTCATTCAAAGAAACATTTCTTTTTGTGGCAGCTCGAAGTGGTAGCACTGACACCTGGGACGAGCTGAAATAAGAACAAAAATCCAATTGGACAATTTCAATTTCGACAATTTCGATTCGACATTTGCTTGCGTTGGTTTGTCAAAGACGTGTTTATAATAAATTAAAACCATTCCATCGGTTTACATTTGGATAATACAACAATAGGAAATAAATTTGTGTTGGAGATTGCTCCTCAGCGGAAATCCAAGCAGTAAGTGATTATTTATATCATTTATAGAAGAAGAGTTTAAACTGCTAATAATAATTAAAATATGACAAACTTTGAAGGAATATATGTACATAACATATTTTGCCGGGGCCTAATTGAATGACGTGCCATTCAAGCTACGTCAGGGGAACAAGGGAAAGATGATTTGTAAAATTGTTGCTATTTAGTAAACAGGCAATTCTTGTGAGTGATAAATTTTCTGCTATAACTTGCTTGTATAGCGCATGGTTTTTCAGTAAATAGTCAAAATAATATCATCATCTATCATATAAAGCAAGCGAATGTTATATGGTGAAATTGTATAGTTAAGTATTATGGCGGTCAGCAGCAAAAAACAAAGTTCAGCTAACTAATGCCTAATTCATTAAAGGGGGCCGTAGGGGTGCACCGAATGGTTTATATACAAATGCCATTAAATTCACTTTGCTCAGAGCAGCGTATAAAGCTCACCAACGGCGAATAGCGAATGTTTTTGTGTTCTTGCTTAGTATGAAGCAATAATTCTGGAAGTACATAAATTAGAGTAGAACTCCGATGATCACAACCTCCTTCTTTTTTTATGCTTCTCTTTACCTATCTACTTAATATTATTTGGAATGTAATGATTACGCCATCTAGTTGTGTTGTCTTGTAGTTCATACAAAACTTGTTTTATCGTTGCTGTTGTTATTGATTTTACCCACTTTCTCTTTTCTTTGCATTGCATGCAGTTTCTCAAAACGTTATTGGATAACACTCCATAGCAGGTGCAATAAAAAAAGACAAATATTACTTAATAAACAGGTATAATTTTTATTGTTGTTCCTAAATATTGTGCATATGTATGTATGAATGTATGCTGATATTATTGTTTTGACACTTTGGTAAGTTTTGATTTTGGAAAGTCTTGGCCAGCAAGCAAAGCGATACCAAATACCGCATATTGCGTTAAATTTCGTTTTACTATGCCTTGTGTGTGCTAACTGTAAAAAAATTAAAACAAAAAATAAAATCGACAGTAAAATATTTTGTATAAATATTAATTTCGATATGCAACTACTCGGCAAGCTTCGATGTTGTTTTTGATGCCGTAATATACTGTAAAATGAAAAAAAAACTTTAAGATCATAAGTACATATGTATGTATATACCTATCATTTCACTTATTGACCACAAAAAATTAATTTTTAATAATAATTTTAAAACAATTTAATGGGAAAATAAAACTTTCAATTTAAGTTAACTTTGAAAAATAGAAAACACATTAATTATTTTATTTGATATACATAAGAATCCTTTTAAAATTTATTATGTAAATACTAAGTTCAATTTATATTAATTAAAAAATATATATTACAATTAATTGCTAGGAAACGGTAATTAATAACAAATAATTTTTATATGGAAACTTTTGTAGTTAAACTATTTCCATAAGTAAATATATTTCCAACGTCAAACATTCCGACTAAAAATAAATAAGAGGCAAATTAATAAAAAATGTGAGAAGTCCGTTGCAAAACTGTGCTTTAATTGATAAGTAAAAAAATATTTTTAGTTTTACTTATTTTACTTGTTTTTTATACATTTTGTGTTTGTAATGTTTTTTTTTTTATTATTGCATCAAGATAAAAGGTAAATAATTTACAAGGTGTAAAGTTAAAGTTTAACTAGTTTGCTTGGAGAACTGGCTTCAATTCAATACTACCAGAGGTATTAAGTCATAAAATGAAGGCCATATATCATACATACGTGTATATATCTCTTTATATATGAAATCTGTATGCACATATGTAACACTTTTGAGCAGACAACTGCGCTAAGTTAAGTTTAAGTTTAAGCTTAAGTTCCATTACTTTCTCTAATTCATAATTCAATTTATTATTTATAAGAACATACCATTTCTGCTACGTGATGGCTATTCTATAAAATATTAAATATACAATTATATGTACTAGGTGCATATATGTATGTGTGTACATATGTGTACTTGTATACGCTTTGAATATTTTTATTTCAAGCCGTTGATAAGAATATACATACTACATACATATGTACATATATATATGAGTAAGGAACATTTGAAGGTTGTAGCAAAACATAGCGTAGGCAGCATCTTTCTTTGGAAAACAAGCTAGAACAATACATATTCTTATGTACATATGTAAAAAAATTGGTTTGTTTAAAGCTCGAGCATAAACTATTACAAAAATAGTATAGTGCCTACCATCATACACTCATACTTAGGCACGTACATATGTAGTTATACTAAAAATTTAAATTTTCTAAGTTTCTGAAGTGTCAAGTCTCTTGACATCCCGCAGCTTAGACTAACCTTCTTCAGCCTCTACAAGCATATATAATCAATTTGTATACATACATTTTTATGAACACAAGGGTTGTGCCCTTAAAAGTTTATTTCGAGTATCTTACATTCATATGCATGTCGGTAGAGAGTAGAAAACAATAAGTACTCACAGATTCAAAAATGTACCTTATGAAATTATTTAACAAACTCACGCTTTTTATAAAGGTTTTGTGATTGTAACCTAATAACTATATTATTTTCTTGTGTGAAGAAACACCCTAATATGTACATATGTTTACAAGCATGGATGTATAGATAAAGGTGCAGTTAATTGTATTATCTTCTATTTACAGTATTATCACACTTTTGGCCCAAAAAATCCCATTTGAAAATCATACATTCAATTTGTTGTTCAATAGGGTCGTACGACCGAAGTATTATAGCACTTTTTATAAAGTTTAATAGAAAGAAGTGGTTAATTGAATGTAGGATGAAATTATTTAAATATTTAATTTATTAAAGAAGTTAAAAATAAATAAAAACAATTAAATTATATCATCTTGCTATATATGCATATGTCGCTTCTTGTCAATTATGGTAATCTAATGGGGGAAAAATTATATTATATACATATTCCTAAATTGCTTTAATTTACTGCAATGCATATCTGACGAAATTTTCGAAATTACTTAAATACAAAGTAAATTTTTAACAAAAATCACTTGCTGAAGTTTTGATTATTAATATCATTTAATATATTTGCCAACTAATTCATTTTTTTTTTGACAAATATTATTGGGAGACTTAATTTTAGAGTAATCAATTAACAAATGTTTAAAAAAGATATATATAATTTAAAGTTTTGATTAAAAAGGAACTTCTTTTTGATGTGATTAAAAAAGACCATTTGAAAAACTTATTTCCCAAGTAACCAGACGTTTTTTAGTAAATATTAGTACAATACTATAAAGTAAAAAATGTCTTTTATATTTAGAGTTATTTGTATTTAATTATTTGTAATAAAAATGCTTATAAGTTTTTCCGACTTTTTTTTTGGAATAAAAATTTAAAAGAATAGATTGTTGGAAATCTGGCGCTGTGTAAGCGCTGTATCGATTTTTGATCGATTTTCACCTGATGTTGATTGATATTGATATTGACATTTTTTCAACAAACGACCGATGGATTTGTATAAAGACCTTTTTATTTTATGTCAGAAATAGGCTTGGAGAGCTTGGGGCGGTTGCCATTAGAAAAATTAATTTTCTTAGTTTTCTAAGTTTAGTCGAACTAATACCGGAACCCTGGTCTACCAAATGGTGGTACGCACTGTTTGCCACTCGGCTATTGCGGCCGTCAAATATATTTATTAATCTGAAATATATATATACATATACATATGTATATATATTTAATAATTTTGGGCGCACATATTTCGGAGTTCATAATGTCAAATCGATCACACTTTTGCTAAGCGCCTATTCATATATACTAACTAATCCGCTTCATTTCGACACCACGCCATCATTTAACTTAATATAAATATACATACATATATATAAGCGTGGTATGAGTACCCTAACTTAGCCAATTAAACGCGTGCCGGCATCTCTCTCAGAATACATCACGCCATATACATAAGTACATATAGTGGCTACAGAGAATTTATGTGCATATGTAGTTATATACATATGTATATTTTTTACTAATTTCATATTGATTTGTTAATTAGAACACAAAAGTATGAAGTTGGACAGCAACAAATTGTTTTGTGTATGTACATATATATATATGGTATTTCAATATGCATTTCCCATTCGAATCAATCTAATCAAAGTGAAATAAAAATCTGTGCGCATATACACACATATTCATATGCAAATACATATCTACATACATACTTACATACATACATATACATGCTACTGATATCAGTATACAACACAATCAGAATGATCGGTAGCGATCATTCGCCGGCGTGCAAGCCGGCTATGTCGTGGACAAATTCTTACGCTCTCACGATAGTGTTAACAACAGCAACAGTTGTCTTCATTGTACCTGTTACTTTCAGTTGATTTTAGTTCTCGCTTAACGCGCTCGTGAAACGGTTGATTGGTGGCTCTAGCAATAAATATTATAAATATTTGCAATTCCGCTGTGCCATATATAATATATACATAGTTGTAATTGCTATTTAAACGGGCACCGGTTTCGTTTAAAAAATAAAAAAAATAAAAATTGTTGAAAAAAAAAGAAATATAATAAAAGCAAAGTATGTGTGTTGCGAATCCATTTGGCAAACTTTATTTTTTCAATTCAATATTTGTTCTTATTAATAAACTGGTTGCTATATGATCTTAATGTCTGACTGTGGATAAATGGGGTATTTTATTACAAAATAAATTAATTTTTCTAGTTCTATGCTGCAAATATGAAATGGGTTTAGCACAAGGCTGTGCGAGTCATGAAACTCTAGCAAAAGTATCATAAAGAACATTAAACATAAGCGCTGAGCAAAAAACATACGAAAAGAGTGCTTAAATTACAATTAAAAATATTTTAGCTATTTTTTTTTTTTTTTTTGATAAAATTTTGCATTTAAATTATGCATAGTCACGACAGATGTATGTCAAATTCCACGGAGAGAAAATGTATTTCGTAAATTCTGTTTTATTATAAAATAAAAAAAAAACAAAAAAACATGCTAACAAAAAATTAAATAATCTAAAAAACAATTTAATTATTATTTTTAAAAATTTATCAAAGTAAAAATCTTGACGGTTATACAAAAATTACAATATTGAAAGTAAACAAGCGTTAATAATTTTGTTAAAAAATAAGAGTAAATAATGGCCATACTTAATACTCAATACTTTATGCTTTAATAAGTTATTATTATTAAAACTAATTGACCACATTTTCCTTATTTTAGTTAATAATATAGAGCTACTTACTGTGCATACTAAACAGAGAACTTTCCCAAACGCAAAGTCACAAACATGTCAGCCAAAGCCATCTCTGAAGCCACCGGCAAAGATATTTTGAATCGGTTTTTGAATGTGAATGGCGCATCTGGTGCAGCACAATGCCGCTTCGCAACTGTCAACACAGAAACGGATTGGTCACAGCTGACCGTACAAAATCCCTGGCTTTTGAATACTGTAAGTACACGTATATATATATATATGCATGTATAATAATTAAAATAATAATTAATTTTTGTATACTTAAAACTAACATAACCTATACTCCATAGCACATTCATCCGTCGAAAAAACACACTTGAAGACATATATTAAAATACTGGACGACGTGTGTTGACAAAATTTATCATTTCATACCAAAAGTATTGGATTTCTTCATTATTTGCTCAAACAAATATTTTTTTTCTTGAAATTGACCGTCAATTTGTATATGATAGCTGAGTGTTTGTTTCCTATTTCGAGTACACACCTTATATGAATGTTTGTATACATTTGTATTTGCTCAAAGAGTACGGCATTAAAGAGTTTGCGATTGCGTTTTGCCAACTGCTACTGTTGAAAATACTTAACTACCGTTATCTTGATTATGAAATTTGAAAATAACGCATTATTAATATAGAAACTTGTTTATGATTGTGCCAGATTTTTTTTTTTTTTGATAACTTGTACTAATAATTTAATTTATATATTATATATGCACATACGATTATACATATATGTCAACGCTGGGTGATAATTCGTTAATCATTAAGTGTTTATGCAACGAAGAAGCATTTGTTTGCATCTATATATTTCAACTCTTATCAAGCGGACAGCACTTAGTCATAGATTAGAAATCTTTAAGTGATTTTTAGCAATCACGTGGTATTTAGAATACTTTAAAAGCATTTAACAGCATTTGTTGTTTTCATCATTTATGGAAGATTTTAAAAACTAATTATATTTAGTGAATGAATTTTGCAAAAAATTTGACTTTTATAAGTGGCAGAGGACATTTTAAAATAAATACATCGGAAACTAATTACTCAAGTATTGCTTCAAGAGGCTAAATCAAATATAATAATATTTTTGCTTTCAATTTTAAATTTCAAAAAGCAAATAAAAGAACGGACGTTGATCTAGGAAATGAAAAGACGTTAAGTGTCATATATTATGTAGTTGCTTAAGTGTTTTGACAATAATACTTGTATCATAAATATATTTAAAGCTCAAAAAAGTTGTGTATAAACACGTTCGACATACAAACATTTAGCTATTACGTTAATAAGTAACTGTTTTGGCGCGCTCACTGGATGACACAGCGACACCACTCACAATACACCCCCAAGTGAGCACATAAATGTACTTAAAAAATGAAAATAACTTAACAGTATGTATGAATGTATGAAGAAAGATGCACACAAATACGTCATACATCATGCGACATAGACGTTATTGTTCTTCTATACATATGTATATATATTCATATTTGATCTTCAACGTGATCGTTTAAGCGTCAGATTGCTCTTTCTTTTTTTTTGTTAAATTATTATCAGTTTACTCACTCAAATAGTGCTAATGTTCATACAACAAACAACTGCTGATGTCGGAATTGCTAAAAATTATATATATTTTTGTTAAGTTTGTATGTACCGAGGTGGCCTGATGTTGTTTACGTTATGACGCCAGGTACAATTGCAATAACTAATCCAGCGTGCGATAATAGCTTACGTTTTACGAAACAATTGTGTACGCAATTGAGTGAGGAAATGTATTTTTATTTATATTTTAGCTTTGCTTTATATATGTATGATCGTAAATTTAATTTAACAAGCACAATTAATATTATTAAGTAAATTTTAATGATTTATTTGTGTGATTTGTGCTCTCAGGTCTGTATCTTTTCTTATTATTTATTAATACACATACTTGGTATGCATAATTATGCCAATATATAAGTGCGGAAACTATAATTTGAAGAGATAATTTAAGATAATGTTCGAAATTATATATATTATAATGTTATTATATTATTATATGTTTCGGTATTTCAACTTTTTTTCTTTTTTCCCTTTACTATTGTAAAACAATTGATATTATACTGCACGTGCATTCATATGCAAATGTTTATAATGTAAAATCTACATATGTATATACATATGTACATACAACAGCTAATATTTTTTTATGTACTTATGAATATTTCAAATTTGTAATGTCACATTAGCAATTGTTCTCCAGCTGCGCTATACATACATAAATGAGTTCAAAGGCTATGCTCAAGTCAATATTTGAATTCTTTTCACAATAACTAAAATAACCTTTGTTTCCAACTGAACTTACAAGCATACATATATATACGAGTAATGCAGCAAAAACTCAACACATTTCATACATGATAAACTTCCGTATTTCACCTAGACACTCACTTTCACCTGACTTCACCTGACTGTCGGCAATATTCGATTTCGTCTCTTTGCACACTAACTCAAGTAAAATAAACACAATTTAGTCTCATATACCGAAACTTTTTTGTATAAAATAATTAACTAAATGTGTGTGTAATTGTTATACATTTGCAGCCATTGGTTGTTAAACCGGATCAATTGATTAAGCGTCGCGGCAAATTGGGCCTAATTGGTGTTAAGAAGAATTTCGAACAGTGCAAACAATGGATTGGCGAACGCATTAATAAGGACCAAAAGATTGGCAATGCTGTGGGTAAATTGCGTAATTTCATTATTGAGCCATTCGTGCCGCATGAGGAGGTGAGTTTACCGAAAAAATTCATGTAAAATAAAAAAACAAAAATTATATATTTCAATATTTCCAGTCCGAAGAGATGTACGTCTGCATCTATTCGCATCGCAGTGCCGATACGATACTCTTCTATCACCAAGGTGGTGTGGATATTGGTGATGTAGATGCAAAAGCTTTGAAACTGGACGTGCTGGTGAACAATCAAACTTCTGTTGAGGAAATTACAACGAAATTGTTAGTGCATGTCGCTGACGCTGCCACAAAGAAACGTATTGCCAATTTCATCTTCGCCTTGTACAATGCTTATGTTGACCTGTACTTTACCTATTTGGAAATCAATCCTTTGGTTGTGACCAAGGACAACATGTACATTTTGGATTTGGCTGCTAAGCTCGACGCTACCGCCGATTTCATTTGCCGTCCTAAATGGGGTGATGTTTGCTATCCACCACCCTTCGGTCGTGATGCCTATCCAGAGGAGGCTTATATAGCCGATTTGGATGCTAAGAGTGGTGCTTCACTGAAGGTATATACACATATTCCACGCTACCTATTAACATAGTATTTGCATGTGTATGTATGTATATATATAGTAATTTTCTTTTCTTATTCATTGAACAGCTCACCATATTGAATCGTAATGGTCGCATTTGGACAATGGTTGCTGGCGGTGGTGCTAGTGTTATTTATTCCGATACAATTTGTGATTTGGGTGGTGCTTCTGAATTGGCCAATTATGGCGAGTATAGTGGTGCGCCTTCTGAGCAGCAAACTTATGAATATGCCAAAACCATTTTGACACTGATGACATCATCGCCAAAACATCCTGATGGCAAGGTGCTCATCACAGGCGGTGGCATTGCCAATTTCACAAATGTTGCTGCCACCTTCCGCGGCATAATAACGGCTCTGCGTGAATTCCAACCCAAACTGGTCGAACATAATGTGTCGATTTTCGTGCGTCGTGCCGGCCCCAATTATCAAGAAGGTTTGCGCAAGATGCGCGAATTCGGCTCTACACTCGGCATTCCATTGCATGTGTTCGGTCCAGAGACACATATGACAGCGATTTGTGGCATGGCGCTGGGCAAGCGTGCCATACCACAAACCGCTACCGCTGAATTCTCCACCGCCAACTTTCTATTGCCCGGTGGTCAGCAAGCACAATCGGAATTAAAGGCAGCCGAAACTGCAGTGAGCAACAATGGCGGTAAGTTTGTCAAATTTCACCTATCTCATTATTATGATTATGATAATTGAACAAAAATCTACCAAATCCTACTTTGTTGCGTGTTCTTGGTAGGTTTTGCATGGTTCAAAGGAGAACAAATTGGTGTTTCCTCGTTTATTTGTTTTCATGTATAGCTTTATTTTGGCATGAAAATATTTGTGGGTGCATTATTTTTAAACATGAAATTTTTTATTTTAAAAAATGCAATTGGAAAGACATTCAGGGGACTTTCGAGCTTTGTCCTCGTGAGAACTATATATCGATATTTGGAATATTTTAGTGCGTTTTATTAAAACAGCAAGTTAATTTAATTTAGTTAATTTTCATGAGAATTCAATCAGTCCAAAATTCTATAAAGTATTTTAGACTTTATTTATAAACTATTGAAAGAATGCAAAATTGTAAAGCTTAAGATTTGGAAAATACAAAAGCAGTTAATTTCATATATATAGGAAATTAGTAACTATTTAGAGCAGTAATATATATTTTTTTCCAAATTCAGTCAATTAATCTCTTGATGCCGAGCTGAAAGTGTTCTTTGTATAAGAAAAAATATTATTAAAAAAATAGATTAAAGAATTTTTCACTTTAGAACCACCTTATTCTAATTTTAAATTAAATTTATTGTTTTTTCTTCAACTTTAACTTACAAATGTGGGATATGTAGTAGAGAAATCCTTATATCTAACAATATCCTATAAAAGCTACCAACTAATAACGTATTTTATAAATTATTTTCTATATTTTCGTATGTATCCTCTACGTCCGTCCTCATGTTTGTATGTAATTGGTTATCCTGCTCGACATCACCACCACAAATTCCGAAACCACAACCAATCCACAACCACCACCATTTCTGCCTCAACATATGTCTTGAAAAAAATAATAATAATCAAAAAACATAAAATTATTACTTTGGCAAAAATCCTCGTTTTATAAAATTGTTTGGTATTATAAATTAAATAATTTTACATCCTTATTTTTTTTTTATTAACGTTGCTTCTCAATTTAAAATGTCACGAAATATGTATAAACGTGGCTGGAACATTAAAAACGTACATGACATTACCGTTATATGATATAATCTAACGTATCCTATGCTCTATGTTTGTGCTCGTGTGTTTTACCTGTTTTCGTACATCTATTTTGTTCGCCTCACGTTCATATCTCCAAAATCAAAAATCAATCCGAAAAAAAAATCGTCTTGACACGGTCTCTATCCTGCTCGAAATCTACTGCAATATACATTCAAATCGTTATCGAAATCAAACCAAAAATCGTAAATCATTTGGGAACACATTTAAGGTATAGGTTCATCACCACAATCGATTAAACTACCACCTATTTCGGCAGATGATTCTTTAACAAACGACGCTGTGTCCAACAATGTCGCAAATGCGCATTCGCGCAAATTTTTCAGCAACAAAACGAAAGCCATCGTATGGGGCATGCAACAGCGGGCCGTACAGTCTATGCTCGACTTTGATTTCATTTGCAGGTACAAAAAAAAAAAAAGAAAAAATCATTCAGTTTTGCTATTAACTACATTTAAACTAACTCTTCTCCTTTGTCTAGACGCGATGAGCCGTCCGTTGTCGCCATGGTGTATCCCTTCACTGGTGATCACAAGCAAAAATACTACTGGGGTCACAAAGAGATTCTCATTCCAGTGTATAAGAAGATGTCAGACGCTGTTAGGAACCACAAAGATGTTGATGTGATGGTGAATTTCGCTTCATTGCGTTCGGCATACGACTCCACATTGGAGGTATTGGAGTTCCCACAAATACGCACCGTAGCTATTATCGCCGAGGGCATACCGGAGAATATGACCCGCAAATTGATTGTCGCCGCCGACAAAAAGGGTGTCTCAATTATTGGTCCCGCCACTGTGGGTGGTGTTAAGCCCGGTTGTTTCAAAATCGGCAACACCGGCGGCATGTTGGACAACATTTTGCACTCGAAACTGTACCGTCCCGGCAGTGTGGCCTATGTTTCGCGTTCCGGCGGTATGTCCAACGAATTGAACAACATTGTCTCAAAAGCCACCGATGGAGTGGTGGAGGGTATTGCAATTGGTGGTGATCGCTATCCAGGCTCAACATTTATGGATCACATTTTGCGCTACCAAGCCGATCCAGAAGCCAAATTGATTGTGTTGTTGGGCGAGGTTGGTGGCACCGAGGAGTACGAAGTTTGCGCTGCACTTAAGGATGGCCGGATTACAAAACCATTAGTAGCGTGGTGTATCGGTACATGCGCAAGTATGTTCACTTCTGAGGTACAATTCGGTCATGCAGGTTCATGTGCCAACTCAGATCGCGAGACAGCATCCGCTAAAAACAAGGCTTTGCGGGAAGCAGGTGCTTACGTGCCAGACTCCTTCGACTCGTTGGGTGACCTCATTCAGCAAGTGTACGCTGAATTGGTGAAATCGGGACGTATTGTACCCAAGGAAGAAGTACCACCACCCACCGTACCAATGGATTACTCTTGGGCCCGCGAATTGGGTCTAATTCGTAAACCCGCTTCATTTATGACATCCATTTGTGATGAACGTGGACAGGAGTTGCTGTACGCCGGCATGCCTATTAGTGAAGTGCTCAGCAAGGATGTGGGTATTGGAGGTGTGGTCTCGCTGTTGTGGTTCCAGCGCAGTCTGCCGCCATTTGTTTGCAAATTCTTCGAAATGTGTCTAATGGTGACCGCTGACCACGGACCGGCTGTTTCGGGTGCGCATAACACCATTGTGTGCGCGCGTGCTGGCAAAGACTTGGTTTCGTCCGTCGTCAGTGGCTTGCTTACCATAGTGAGTTGCGAGATTTTAAGCAAGATTTGTATGCTTTAATTAACTACTTCTCCATTGCACAGGGTGATCGTTTCGGTGGTGCTTTGGATGGTTCTGCCAGACAATTCTCCGAGGCCTACGATTCTAACTTGCATCCTATGGACTTTGTCAACCAAATGCGCAAAGAAGGCAGACTTATTATGGGTATTGGTCACCGTGTAAAATCAATCAATAATCCAGATGTGCGCGTGAAAATCATCAAAGAATTCGTTTTGGAGAACTTCCCATCTGCGCCACTATTGAGATATGCTTTAGAAGTGGAGAAGATCACCACAAGCAAAAAGCCAAACTTGATTTTAAATGTTGATGGTGTGATCGCAACCAGTTTCGTAGATATGTTGCGCAATTGTGGATCATTCACAAGGTGAGTGAGCAAAAAAAAAAAAAGAAATATTAAAAAATTTAATTTTTTTATATTTACCAAATAATAATTTCCTCATAATTAATATACATATATGCATCGTTTTCAGCGAGGAGGCTCAGGAATACATCAATATCGGAGCGATCAACTCTCTATTCGTGCTGGGACGCAGCATAGGCTTCATCGGTCACTACATGGACCAGAAGCGATTGAAGCAGGGTCTATATCGTCATCCATGGGATGATATCTCATACGTTATGCCCGAACAATTCAACTAAATACCTTAGAGGATTATTATTATTAGTTGAATGATATATATACTTATGTCATATATTAAAAAAAGAATAATACATTTGTAATTGTGAAATCCCTCATTATCAAGAAGGAAATGTACATACCTATACTTGGATAACTAACTACATTTACATATGTACACACACACATATATATATATATATAATATAAAGAAATATGTGGTAGGAATTTCCAGCACAATTACAAACCCATTTATAAATACACACTCCAGTAAGTTTAACTTAAAGTTGTTAACGTTTAATGAATATTAGTGAAACAAAAAAGTTAATTTTCCATTATAATCCGTATTAAAACTGTTTTAGGTTTCGCATTTTTCGAACGCATTTTTTTCTACATTTTCTTCATTAATATATGCATTTTGCTTAATATCCCTGCTTTGTTATTATAATTCTTTTTTATACATAATATTTAATTAGGAGCGAATATGAAAATTAGTGGCTGAGCACAATAGTTGTAAAATTTATTTTGGAATTTTCGGTATCATATTTTCAGATTGTACTATAATTTTAAAAATTATATTATATATAAAAATTGTGGGAACACAATAAAATTATCTACAAATGATAAATGAATAAATAAACTGCTTAGACTAAATAAAACTAATATCAATGGCTTACTGTAAATTAAATTTAAAAAAAGACAAAAAGAAACGGTATTCATAACAGCATATGTAAATTGTTACATATCGTTATTTGTTTAACGAGATTGTTAGTATGTAGTGAATGCACCATGCACTTGTTTAAAATATGTATGTATGTATTTAATTCAATACTTACTGTCAAGTGTGAGTAGATTTACATTGAAGAAAGCTAGACCAATGGGTAGAAATTAATTAGGAAAAGCGAAAAAGCGATTGGTACTTGTTAAGAAGTTCAACTGAGAGGAACCTGCATAACTGTAAGAGCTAGTAATGTAGCTTCAAGTAAATTAAATTGCAAAATATGAAAATATTATGAAATAAAGTTTAATGGTTCTTTTGCACGGATTTTATGCACACAAATAAAGAATGGAATTGTTAAAATAAAGGCGCTTTTAAGTTAATTTTTTTATGTAAAAAAAAGGGAATATAAATTTAAGCTTGCAGTATACGTTAACAGACCTATTCTGTCGAGGTAACAAAATTTACCTAGGTATTAAAATTTACCATTCAGTAAATTTTGTTAGCATTTCGTATTCTGAGCTCACTGTCACCCTGTACATTTTGTTACCAGCGAAATAGGAGGTAACAAAAATATCTGCTGTTTGATTTTGTGTTGTAATTTTGAGAAAAAATAAAAAAACCATAATGGGTAGGCATATTTTAGGCCTGGAATTTATTGAAGAGACAAAAATTAGCCCTTTAATTTGTAAGATAACGTTTCATTCAGCTTTTTTTGTTGTCCAGGTATATTTCCCATAATTAGCTTCAAATATTTATGATTTAATAGACAAATTTATAAAAAAATTTTAATTTTTTTGTGCACCGTTTTCCATTTCGTTGTGAATATTTTTCTTTTTACTTTATCAACTGGCAAATGTAATTTGACATGGACGAAAAAAGCAATGCTGCCAAATTTTTTTCAAACACTGTAACCAGTTCGCCAGAATATCAAATTCAATTTCGGGTGTTAAAAAAAAAGTAAAAAAATTTATTTTACCGGTAACAGTGAGAATAGGCCTGTAAATTACTAATTTTCACCAAGAAGGACGCCGGTGCTCAAAACATTTCCTTAACTAAAAATAGGAATAAAAACTGTTATATTGTCTTTCGTTTATCTAATCTCAAACCTTGTTTTTTATTATAATTGTTTGTCAGTTGTATTCAAAAACCTTATTTTATAATATATTTACATAAAAAGCGAACCTGCACCATAACACACAGTGTCAGTTGTTAAAGTAAATTATTGGGCGCAAATCCAAAATTGACAACTTAATTTAAGATGAATATCGTCTTTAACGTCTGTTGAATGGCGTTTGATTTAAATCCGCCATGGATTTATGCATTACATTATTGACTTAGAGCGCCTCATTGGGCTAAGTTGATGCCAACGACATTTGGCTTATTATTAAAGTCTTCATCTCATGCGTCGCATTTTGCGTTCGAGTTTTCGTTGTTTCTTTTCATCCAACTCGGGTTCCTGTTCGGCTGCATTGCGTTGAGATAACCACGGTTGTATCACACTGCCCCATAACATCCAGAAAGCTCTCAAAGGTGCAAGTAACAACAGGTACCAGAAGTAATTTGACAACAATGATAAAAGCAGTGTGCCTGATGTTAAGATTATTAGATCCTTGACATTTCTATTAAAAAAAAAAAAAATAGAAAGTCATGTAACTTTTGTAAGACATATTTTTCATATTTCAAAGTTCACTTACTCTGCTATACCACCCTCCATATTCAAATCGTTTCCAGAATCTAGTAGTGCACCACTTTCTGAGTATTTCGGGCGTGACATGAATGTCATAAACTGCACCGCTGCGGCCAGTATAAGTAATGCTATGAAGCCCATAATCTTTAATGAAAGCAACAGTTTGTACATATGTACATACATTTATGAGTGTAAAATCATTATTGGAAGATTTACAATTCATTAGTCTTTTCATACCACTGTCGCTTTGCTCAATCCGAAAAATATCAGGTTAAGCAATACCATACCAGCCGCGCTGCCAATGGCCATGTTCCTATAAAACTTCAGTGTGGCCTTATTCTCCTCCACAATCTGCTTTGCTCCTTTTGTACCTTGTTTTCCCTTTTGTTGCGGCTAAATAATGTTAGATTTTTAACACGCTGATGAATTGCCATCTTATTTTAATAATTTTTTACTCACCGCCATTGCTTTTCTATTAATATAACTTATTTTCCTATCAAAAATACTTTTAACAAACAAATATTTTGTACAATAATTATTCTTTTTATTTTTAGTTTGTTAAGTACAAAATAATATTCGTTAAGCTCACGAATTTGCGTGACGCGTCAACAATTAACCGAACGATGACAGCTGCCACTCGACAGCTGTTTGAAATTTATAACAGATTTATTCAAGACTTGCCGTAACTTAACTTATCACAAGAATTCCATAGAGAGTTGAATCAAAGAACGAATTCATATACGTTCTTTGGTAATAGAGAGGATGAATAATGTAATTCACGATATCGTGAAAATAACATAAAAACCATTTAAATATAAAATTTTATTGTTATAGTTTATTTTTCCCAATCATTTCGAGCACAAATAACAAAGAATTAAGTTAAAATGATGTACGGTGGTGTGTAACATCTCTCTTATTCCAAAGCTTTTGTTATCGACTAAATAACTCGATTAATTTTTATTGGTAGTTCCGTCTTCCGGTTGACATTTAATTTATTTCTTTAATTTGAATTTCAATAAAATATTATTCAATCCATATTTTGAGGGATCTTCTTCTTCTTCTTTAGGGGAGCTTCCCTATATTTATACCAAAATACATAACTGTAAACATTTGAAGGTTTTAGTCCTCGAGCGAAGATGCGCATTTGCATTCCATGTAATTGGACACAGCTTCGATTATATGACGCGATGAAATACCAAATTTATCAAGCAGCACTGCCGGCGGCCCGGAGCGAGGCACATGCGGTACATATAAATGTTTCACTTCCATATCGCGTTCCATCGCAAGCGCACTCAGAACAGCTTCGCCCAAGCCACCCTCTTGGTAATGATCTTCAACCACAATGATGCGTCCTTGGCATACACGTGCATTCACCATTATCAAGCCAGCATCTAACGGTTTTATAGTGAAAGGATCTATAACACGCACTTTTATACCGACTTTTTCCAAATCATTCGCAGCAGACAAACATTCATATAACGTTACGCCTGCGCCGATTAGGAGTACTCTATCTTTGCGCGATTGCCTGATCACTTTACCTATGCCCACCTGAAACACTTCTTCGTTTTTGTAAATGACGGCTGTACTTGGTCTGGATGTGCGTATAAAACAAATACCCGGCGTATTTGCTGCCAACTCCACAGCACGTTCACAGCTGACAGCATCAGACGGGTAGAAGACAGTGCTGCCTGGTATGGCACGAAACATGGCAATGTCCTCGAGCGCCATCTGTGAAGGGCCATCCTCGCCTATGCTTACGCCACAGTGCGAGCCACAAAAATTAGCGTTTGCCTGCGAAATGGCCCCCATGCGGATTTGATCAAAGGCGCGAGTTAGAAAAGCACCAAACGTAGAAGCAAAAGCGATTGTGCGGTTGCGACATGTGGCACCGATGGTTACGCCAACAAGATTTTGCTCAGCAATGTAACATTCAACGAAACGGTCTGGAAATTTTTGTTTTAGCTTCTCTGAGTAGGTGGAGTTTTTCGTATCACCGTCGAGCGCTATCACCCGATCACATCCGGCTGCAATTTTAGTCAGTGCTGTGCCATATGCTACACGCGTTGCTACTGGTTCTCCTAATTTGTAGGCCGGTGGTGTGTCCAATTTTACATTGCTAATATTAACCTCAGGTACTGTCATTCCAGCGTTTGTTCGCGGTTTGAGCGCCACTGGGCAGGGTGACCGATTGATGATCGAATATTCGAGCTTCCTTATGCAATCACAGGCTTTATCACCCAACGGCTTACCATGCCAATTTTCTTGATCTTCTATTCCGGGAAATCCCTTGCCTTTCAATGTTCGCGCAAGAATGGCCGTCGGCTTGCCTTTGGTACTTGCTGCCGCCTCAAAGGCATTGATTAGTTCTACGGTATTATGACCGTCCACAACAAGGGTGTGGAAGCCGAAAGCGTCCAAGCGTTTCTCATAAATATCCATACCATGCTGTAGCTGTGTGGGATCGGATTGACCCAACCGATTTATGTCGAATATAACACAAAGATTGTCTAACTTGTAAAAGCTGGCGAAATTTATAGACTCCCAAATGGAGCCCTCGGCTGATTCACCATCGCCGACAATACAATAGGTCCTATTTGATTTTAATAAGTGTTAAATAAATGCGCACAGGTGTTCTACATACATATATAATACCTATAATCAGCTTTATCAATATTCTTTCCTATATAAGCCATGCCAGCCGAAACCGCTACACCTTGACCCAGAGAGCCAGTACCAATATCGATGAAATTCAGTCGAGGTGTAGGATGACCCTCAAGATCGGAATCGAATTTCCGTAAATTTTGTAGATTATCCACGGGAAAGAGTCCAGCTTCTGCCCAAGCAGCATAGAGTATGGGTGCAGCGTGACCTTTCGAAAGCACCAGTCGATCACTTGCCGGATTGCGTGGTTCCTTCATATCCAAACGCATGACGTTAAAAAACAATACGGCAAGTATGTCGGCGATAGAAGAGCAGGACGTGGGATGGCTGTAGAATATGGGTAAATTGTAAATAAAAAGAAGAGCTGGCATTTGACAAGCAGTCTTCTCAACATGTATACCCTGACTTAGATGCCTGTGTTGCTCGTATAGCATGAATCCGTAAACGATTCGCTATATCTTGCAGCTCCTGAATGCGTTCCAAATGGATCGGCTCTTCTTCTGGTGCAATTGTCGTCTTAGTTTCTTGCGCATGCTCACTCATCACTTTGAATTTATTTTGCTTAAAATAATTTTGAACTTTTTTTTAAATGATTGGTTTAAGTTTTATTAATTTTTTTACTGTTTTTTTACTATTACTTTTGACATGTAGTGTCTCAGGAAATCTAATAGGATTGAAGTAAAAAAATTAAATACAGGGTTCCTAAATGCACTAAAAAGTCAAGTGGCTTTTGAATAAATTGCAGTAACATTTGCCCATTGCGACTTCAGCTCATAGAGAGTATTCTTACTATAGGCGAAAACAGGTTTCCACCACACCTCCTCTTTGGTTCCGGTTCCGACCTTGAAACCTTCTTGAAAGCACTGCAGCTTAAAAATAAAAAATCGAGTATTTCTCCTGTCGGCTTGTCTCAAAAGCTCTACGTCGCCAAATAGGCAGTCTTCTACTATTAATCCACTATAGCTCGATGTTTCATCAGAAGTTATTACGGCATAGCAATAAGGCAATCAGTTTTATGGCGGAGTTACGTATGTTTCTAGAATACCATCCCAACGAGATGTTGAGAGAGAGACCTCACCGTGAGCGAATGTGCAAGTCCATGAGAAAACCGATTGGCTGCCTCCTAATGAGATTGCAATATTTTGACATGAAACCTTCTTTGTGTTTGTCGTCGCTCTGCGCTACTCGGCCCATTATATTTACAGCTACAAATTGACAAGCCGAGTGCATTTTCGGATATCGTGGCGTGCACACAACCAAAACATCTTGTAAGATATGTCAGATACGTAGTCAGTCATGTGGTTTACTTAGTTCCTTTTTGTGATTTAATACTAGTTAGTTTGCTGGGCGCCCAAGGGATGTAGTCCTGATTCGACCAACATCTAAATTTATAGAAAATTAATTGTTCTAAATGGGATCGAGCCTCGGCAGGGAATTTCAAGCCTATGAGTGTATTTCTGATATGAAAATCAAAGCTCCTCATAGAATTCCAGCGGCCGTTCGGAGTTGGCTTAGAATAAATAGCATGTGCCTGCATTTGCTGGAAAAATGATCAGGACACAAAGCACATATTGTAGGTGGAGCTCGGCAGAAAATCGCTTTCGCAATATACATATATATATACACATAATATATACTTCCTTTCTCTCTCTCTCTCTCTCTCTCTCTGTTTACCGGCAAAAGAAATAAATATTTTTAAAACGTAGTTCGCATTTATTTCACTATATTTTTATTAAATATACAAATATTTTGTTTGTTTGTTTGTTTGTTTGTATTACAATACAAATCTTCAATTGTCACTTCACTTTTCATCCATACAGTTTTCATTTTTCATTTCTAACGATGTTATTATTTTACTTCTTTACTTAATTTGTATGATTTAATTTGTAGGTTTGTGTTGTTGTTCTTAAGCATACTCTTGTATTATTTATTTAAAATATGATTTTTGCATTTTTTGTTTATTTACTTATGTTTTTTTTTTGTTATTTTTTTTTTTAATTTTTTTTCTCTGCTTTTTCATAAAACTAATTTTTCTTTTACAATTTACGTACTTTATTTTAAATATGTATGTGTATTTTGTGTTAATTTTATTGATTACTCAATATAAACATTCTCTCTTATGTAGAGTTCATCATTATTTATATGTATATACGTGTATATATGTATATATATATATATATAAAATTGCTTATAAGTTACAAGAAAGATGAATTAAAACGAAAACAAGTTGTTTTTTTATATTGTATATGTATAAGTATGCATATCATAATATTTTTTTTATCTTTTCTAATTTTACTTCTTTTTGCATTAACAAGAACAATGATTACATATTCATTATATGGGTAATGCATCATCTTATTTAAACCACATTTAATTTTTATATATATACATATACATATGTATGTATGTATATGCCAACGAGAATACAAAATAAGCAGTTGAGTGTAGAATATTTGTGAGCATGAGGAAGGAGGAAGGAAGAGGTTTGGAACAAAAATAGAAAAAAAACTAGATATATTTAGACAGGACAGGCCTCTATAACTAAGTTCGATCAATTTCATTAGATTCATTTTTTGTTTTTGTTTTTTTTTTCTCTGTTATCTTAAACTACATACGGGCTAAATTACATAATAGTTTAATAAAATTGTAAATATGTCGAGTGTGTGCTTGTGTGTCGTAGAGGCAAATAGGAAAAGAGGAGATTTCTAGCTTCTTTACTTCGCAAATCTTTTAGCTGTTGTTTCTTTAAGAAATCATAACAGCGCTTACATACATTACAAATGTACATATGCAATATAATATTTTATATATATATATTTTCTTTTCCTGCAATCGCAACCAAATTACCTCCCATATGTAAGGAGTTAAATAAGAGAAATATGTTAGGTAAGTTGCTACGCACTTTTGTATATACATATATGTATATACAAAATTAATTTAATTTTTTGTTTGTGTAAGGAATGAAATGGCTAATATTATTCTACTTGTTTTGGATATGTGTACGCTGTGAGATTTTACTTTTCTGAGTAGCAGAGTTGACGTGGGTGTGTGTTAATAAATAAATAATAAAATTATTAAACAACAATTTGATGCTGAAAAACTTCATACAGTGTTGAAATACACGCCAAACATTCGAGTGTTTAATATTATTATTATTATATCTACAAATACATAATTAATAGATATTAAATATTATATACAATTTATGTGGTTTTTTAGCAATGGAGCTACAGCATCAAATTATAGTTAATAACAAATATGAAAAATTTGAGAATGAAATGAAATGAAAAATTTTTAAAAAATAATTTTAAAAATAAAAATATTGAGCAATTTTAAGAGTAGGGCAATGACCTTTGTACCTATTAGTCTGAAATTTATATAAAAACAAAAAATAAATTTAAAATATATTTGAGCTCAAGATCAAGTAATCGCATAATATAAAAGTGAACAATTTATACGTTTTATGCAGAAGCAAGTTTTGATTTTTCGATAAATAAATAATTTAAAGATTTAAGTATATTGGAGTTGTTTTCGCACTACAAATACGCGCTGCATTGTGAACGTATATCGTTATTTTTATATAAAAAGGGCTTATAAGCTTAAATAATGCCTTTTTATATTAAGATAACAAATCTATTTCGGATTTTTTTTTTTTACATAAATTAAAAAAAAAAGAAAATTGTAATAAGTTGCGGTAACAATAAAACGCCGATGAAATGTAGAGTGCTCTAGATTAATATTTTTACGAAAATGGGCTTTTGAAATTTTAGAAACTTATTACATCAGCTAAGCTTATTAAGCAAATTGCAAGTTTTTGTGCACAAAACTGCGGAAAATACAATTTTGGGCCACAATTTTTTTTTTTTTTGGTATTTTTGTAAAATTTTAAAAGTTAACAGCACCATTCTAGGTTTCATCAGCTTTATACATATATGTATATTGTTTAGAATTGTACGATGGCATGATTAATTAAATGAATATTTTTGTAATCGATTGTACATATTATAATATAATTTCGTCTTAACAATGTTGTTTTTTTTTAGCTGACTAATAATCATAACTAATATATGTATAGTATATATAAAATATATATAAAGACAGAAAAATAAATATTTGCGTTAAAAAGAAATGATGTTTAATATTAAAAAGTCATATTTGTAATTTTCAAATTAAACATAAAATCATGCAATCGTGCAGCTCTAAAATTCTAAATATTAACACTTTACTTTTCGCTTAAGCGCAAATTGAAAATTGCTAAAAAAATAAATTAAGATAAAGAAAAATTCTGAACTTTTAAATGTTTATACAAAATTTACAAGTTTTTAAGTATTTTAAAAGATTTAAGATATTTTATGCAAATTTTGTTTAATCGATTTCACAATGACTTTTATAAAATCAAAATATGCCAATGCCGGGTCAGGTCAGCAAGCTTGAATTTTAAGAGTCTATTTTTCACAATTTTCTTTTTCAGCTTCCGAATTTTGTTATACTTGTTAGAGATAGAGAGTAGAGATTTGAATAAAATTTGAGCTAGAAAAATTGTACACAATTACTGCAGTCACTCACATAAATAAGATGGTAAAAAGATATAGTAACAATTGAAATTCACTCACAGGTGCTATGAATGGGAGTAGTGCGTGTGTGCACGTGTAAATTGTGTTTAGGGAATTGTATAATGTAATGATTCGAAGGAAAGTGAGTTATAAATTTTCAACAATAATCTGTTTATACAATTTGCAATAAAAAAAAAACTAAATAATCATAAAGCTACATATGATTAAAGTATTTAAAAAAAGTTTTGTTCGAGTTTTGGAGCCACGAAATAATGTTTGTTTACTAATATGTAAATTTCACTTCGCAGCTTATAAGTTTGCATACAATTGCTATTATGTACAATATGTACATATGTATATATTTATAAAATTATTATAATTGTGTGTATGCATGTTCATACATATAGAATATGTTTAATTAAAAATAAAGAAATTTAACTGTCTCTTATGTGTATGCATTTTAAGAGATGCAAAGCTAAAAAAAAAAAAAAATCAACTCTAATATTAAGGGTTTGTGTACTTGTGTATGTATACACCATTCATACACAGTTTAAATTTATGTAAATGTTAGTCGCTTTTCTATTATATTTTTCACGTTCTTTTTGCTCTACTACATATATGTATGAAAGAATACGGCTTATCGCATGAATGGTGCATTATGAGCTGTGTTCTTTTTTAAATATAGTATCTATGCTTGTGTATATGTATGCTTTTAATATATTTATATCAAATATTTTTTTTTTAATATTTACATATTTATATAATTTATACTTTATGATATATGAAGTGCGTAAATTTAAGTGTTATCTATACATATTGTTTGCGTATAATTGGATTAAATCAAATCCGGTATGCGCATCCAAACACACATATATACATAAACGAAACGAACTTGTTTCATCCTTGAAAGCGCTTCAATTCGACAACGTTTTGCAAGCATTGAGACAATTTCTATCGTTGAAAATTGAGATTTCTATTGAACCACAGGGTATCGAATATCAGTTTATAAGATTTTCACTTCGCAAACAATAATTAATGATACATTTTCAGATATACGTAATTAAAAAGTAAATATCAAAATCGCGCCATTTTTTTACATGCATTACGGAGCTTTTCAAAGGTTTATGTATTTATATATGACACAGCCAATCCAAAAAAAGACCCAATTTATAATTTTCTTTAAATAATTTTTAACAAGTCCTCAAGCCTGACTTTAGAGTTTCGAATTTTCGGTTAAAAAAATATTAAAACTTTCCAGAATCAACTGCATACTTCTAATTGCGCCTTTCTTGAAGTGTGCGTGTGCTGCTACATATGCATGTACATATATTATATACTTTCTTCTGACGCATTCGATATGTCGCCTATATAATCCTAGCTACAATAATCTTGTTTATCAATGCAATTACTAGTTTTTTAATTTATTTTTAGGTTTTTTTTTACTTTCAGTTTTAAACTTTACAATTCCTAACTTGCGCTTAGAAGAAATGTTCGCCTCTTTTAGTTGAATTGGATGCATATACAGCTTGTGTTGCATTAACTTCTTCGCCACATACACCGCCCGCTGCAGCTGTTGCGTTCGCTGTCGCTGCTGCTGGTGCTATGGTGGACGGTGTTGCGCCCAACGCTGTTACTGCATGCCACCAAGCATGCGGTGGCTGATGATGCGCAGCCGCATAATGATGTAGATGATGTTGCAATTGTTGTTGTTGCACATGTGAATGGGATTCACCGGCCTTAGGCTGGTTGTGATAATGTCTGAGCGGTAACAACGTTTGGTGTTGGTGTTGTTGTTGTTGGTGGTGGGGGTGGTTAGTTATGTGTTTATTGCCAGCGTAAGCATTTATGCCACTGCCATGGGAAGTTATGCCATAACGTTGATGTTCATCTACCAGCGTCCTCCCACTCATCGCCACGCCCTACTTCAGATGTCAATCATTCTTTACTGGGTAGTAGACTAGGTCAGATTGTTGCGGGTGTTGTGATTGTAATTGTTGTTGTTGTATGTGATGCATATAATCACTGATTGGTGGTAGAACAGTTTTCTGTTCGTCACCGCCACTGCCGCCACTACTGCCCAATAACATCGTAGGATACCCACCACCAACGCCACGATCATAGATGCTTGCATGTGGTGGTGGCGGCAGGAGGTGTGGAGCGAGGGGATGATGCGCGGTTGGCGCGAGTGGATGGTGTCCGCTTAGTGTATGTGATGCCGCATGTGGATGATAGGGTTGGAAACTGTTCTTTTGCTGTTGCTCAGTTATATCCGCTAAACTGGGATGATGGGAAGGCAGATGGTGGTGATGATGAGCAGCTGCAGCAGCAGCAGCTGCATTAGTTTCGTATAAAGAGGCGCCACTTGGAGAGCCATATAAGCCGGGGTGTCGCATTAGACCAGCCGTACTATAACCTCCAGCCGCTGCAGCGGCTGCGGCGCTGTGATGCTGATGTGGATGCGACTGATGGTGTAGAACGGAGTGCGGATGCTGTGGTTGGGCTTGTTGCTGTTGCTGCTGAAGAGCTGAAAGAGAATTTTGTTGATGTTGTTGTGGTTGTGGTTGCTGCTGCTGTGGTTGAGATTGCGATTGAGATACGCCCATTTGTGTGGCACCTGGTTGCATTAAATCAAAGTTATATTCCATTGAAGCTGGGTTCGTATCAATGAGATTCGTCAGTATGCTGCCAATATTGTTGTAGTTGTGCGGATCTGCTCCCCCAACATTCACACCAACACCACCAACACCTACGGCGCTGCTCTGTCCCGCTTGTGCATTATTCTGCGTTTGCTGTTGTTGCACGTGCTGATGCTGCTGCTGCTGTTGTTGTTGCTGCTGCGGTGCCCCACTGCCGAACATCATTTGTGTGGCGGCAGATCCACCAGATGGCCACATATTCTGTAGTAAGGAAAATACATTAATTTTAATTTGAAAAGTTGCAATTTTTGAAGGCCACTAAAGAGTTAATGAGCAGAGCCTACCTGAAAGCTGATTAGTTCACCGCCAATTGTCGATTCCGGTTGTTTGTTGCTGACGCCACCACTCGGTCCAACTGCCGCTTGCTGTTGTTGTTGTTGCTGCTGCTGCTGCTGTTGCTGTTGCTGAGTTAGTGAATTCGGCGTTGTGTTACCCGATGGACCGCCGTTAGAGCCGACATTCATTGGAAGCCCCAGAAAATCGGGTGTGTCAACAATATAGTATTTGGCGTTGTCTTTCAGTTCACCACCGCTGGGTGTGCCAACAACACCTTGTTGCTGCTGTTGCTGTTGTTGTTGTGACTGCTGTTGCTGTTGTTGTTGTGACTGCTGTTGTTGCTGTGCTTGTGGTTGGTGCGCGTTAACACCACCAATTGAATTGGCACCGAAACCGAGATTTGCCCAAGGTGGCTCATTCGATTGCTGTTGCAGTGCATACTGTTGTTGTTGCAATTGCTGGTGTTGCTGCTGTTGGTGCTGCAGCGGTGACTGCTGCGGCTGTGGCGACTGCAAACGTCCGCGTTGCGGTGAATGTGATGGTTGGTGATGTTGTTGTTGCAATTGTTGAGTGGGTGTTGCGTGATGGAGTGGCGAACGCTGCTGATTGTGACGATGTTGCTGTTGCTGCTGCTGCTGTTGCTGTTGCTGTTGCATTTGGTGCTGATGATGGAGCATTTGTTGATGGTGCAACTGCTGTTGGCTTGCTGGCATATGGTGCGGCGACGTGAAATGTTGCGGCTGTTGTTGTTGCTGGGGATGTGGTTGGTGCGGGCTTTGCGGTGTATGGCTGCGCAAATGCTGCTGTTGCTGTTGCTGCTGCTGTTGTTGAACCGCAGCTGCAGAGGACGCAGCCTGCTGCTGTTGATGGTGCTGCTGCTGGTATTGATTGATCAACTGATGCTGCTGGTAAGCACTCGCGTTGCTTTGGCCGCCAGACACACCATGATTAGGGTCAAAATGGAATTCTGGTCCACCAGGCATGCTACCGACTCCAGCTGCGCTCGTTGGACCAAAATTATTCAGTCGTGACATGATATTATTGCCTGCTACATTGGTATTGCCACCTACGCCGATAACAGGATTGCCACTATTGCCAACGCTGTCTGGTGTATTAGGTGTGCGGCGTTGCAGCTGTTGCTGTTGTTGTTGGGCTGGTGGTGGCGTCGGCCGTTGTTGTTGTAACTGTTGCTGCAATTGCTGTTGTTGTGCGTGATGCACGGATGTTGGTGTCAGTATTTGTTGTGGTCGTTGCGGCTGCGGTTGCGGCGGCGGCTGTTGTTGTGGTTGTTGCTGCTGTTGCGGTGGCTGCTGTTGTTGTTGTGGTTGCTGCTGCTGAGCTTGAATTCCCATCAATTTATCGGCGTTAAAGCTTTGAGTATACATGGAATTCTGCTGAGATTCATTAGTTGATAGCGAATGCTGCGACGCCGATGCAGAAGCTGTTGAAGATTGAGAGCTACTGTTGCTGATCATCGATGCATTGAATGGATCCTGCTGTGATGAGCCTGGCGTCGTGGAAAGCGGCGGTGGCGTAGAAACGTTACTCACGCTTCTTTGAAGCTGCTGCTGTTGTGGGTTCTGCTGCTGCTGTTGCTGCGTCTGCTGCTTTGGTTTACTCGAATTTGATTTTTTCGCAACTTTCGCGGGTGGAGGTCCTGGCATATCTGCGGTCGGGAGCATTTCTAAACGCAAACACGAAATTAGGTTCAGATTTCTTGTAACTAAAAGTATGTTTTTTGTTTTACAATTGGGTTATAATCATATAAAATAAGCATTATAAAATTTTTTACCTCCCTAAGCAACTTTTTCGTGCTGTACAATGAGTTTTGTGAGAAATAAGAATTAAAGTGACGTTTTTGTTATGTTCATGTTCTGCCAATTTCAGATCATGTAAGAGCGGGAAGAAGCGGAAGGTGTAACTAAAAATTATCCCCTAATTGGATGCGGGAGCGGGAACTGTTGAGAGAATGACAGTCCTTAACTGTATCTCACTGCTATGGCAACTATTGCATTTTAAACGCTTCTCATTACAGGACTGATTTTACGGGAATAAATTTTTAAACATAAAACCCTCAGGGAATTAATAAATGAATGGACAATCGGTTGTATGAAACCTAAATTAAAAGATAAAACTTTTACACTACTTTAAACTTGAGAGGAAAGTTAGCTTTTTAACAGACAGACATGACCAAAGCAATTCGGGACAAATATATTGTAGTAAATTGGTCTTTTCTGCTTGCGATGCGTAAATACTTTTGAACGGTACCAGTATAGAAATTCATGTCTAGAGAGGTACTTTTCAATAGACCGACTTGATTAGATAAACTCGGTATAGATTACAGTTATTCTTGTATCCGCAAAGATATTTCCCAAATTGGATTTCGGGGAAATTTGCGTGGAGTGACAGTCCTTGGCTGAATAAAAATCCGGGTGATTTCGGTTAAAGACTCGACTGACGCGGGAACTGTTTTAGTCGCCTCTTACGACGACCATGCTTTGCTGCGATTGAATTGTTGATCCCCTAGAATGCAGGGTTTCTTTCTCCTTCATTTTGGTTCTTAGATAATTCGGATCAAAGCTATAGTAGCATTTCATGTTCATAAAAGCTTTGAAACCTTAACTTTTAGGGTTTTTTTCGATTAGATACTAACCATCATCCTTGGCGAAACGTTTCACTTTCTTCGGCGATGGCTGATTACCGTGAACGGTTTGTTTGTGACGCACCAAATGCGTTTTCCACTTGAAGGTCTATTTAAGTAGAAAAAATATATTAGAAAAAAAATACACTGACAAATTGTATTTTATATTTTACCTGATCACAGTAACAGCAGCAGTGTGGCCGTTCCTCCGAATGTGATGGCAAGTGCCGTTGAAGTGATTTTACAGAGCCGAAACGTTTACCACACAAAGTACACTTACACTCGGACGCGTCGGTATGTGCATTGCTGTAGTGATCTTTCAGTGCCGGATATGTAAAATATGATGAGCCACAAATATCACAAACATATGTACGTTTCACTTCCGTATGCAACTGCACGTGACGTTCTAAATTCGCTTTTAAAGTAAAACGATTCTGACAAATGTGGCACTCGAAAAAGTTGTCTTTCTTATGGACGCGTATTATATGCTGGTACAGCGCATTCTTCGAGGGGAAGTCAGCACCGCAAACCTCACAAATAGCACCGTCTGCCTTGTGGCCTGTGGTGTCCAAGTGCTGTTGATGCAATTTCTTGTGCGGAAACTTTTGTCCACATTCTACACACGAATATGCTAAAGATAAAATTGAAACTTTAATAACTGGAAATAATATCATTTCGTGCTTCATTAGTAAAAATAAATTCATTTACTTGGTTAAAACTAAGCATTAGCAAATGAATTAGGAAAACATTAAGTTAATAAAATTATATGTAAGCAGCAGTGCAATGTGAAAATAAATATGTTTGTACATTTACATATATAGCGTGAAAACCAATTTGGTTTTAAATAAAGCCACAAAAGATCGGTGAAGTACACATGGTTTAAATATGAATGAATTGTAGAAATTTACACTTCATTTACGGTTAAGTACGGTTAAGGTACACTCTATACTTAGTAGTTTGTGTTAGTATTTCGAGAATTTTCAGGCACTCACACTCACACTCACTTTTGAATTCTTTCTTGCTGTGAGATTCAACATGGGCGTGGAATTGTTGGCGACGCGAATAGGACTCGCCACAGGTGTCACAGACAAATGGGAATTCCTTCGCATGCACTGTCCGATTATGGTGAATTATTTCCTAGAAGAGGGAAAATAATACAATTTTAAAGATTTATAAACTCAAATTAATTAAAAGTTAACATAAAGTCTGACGAGGAAATCTCCAAATTTCTAGAAGGTTCAAACAAATAACAGTATTTTTTACTTCACATAACGCTTACCTCTAATGATGTACCATTCGGTTGGCCACAATCATGACAAAAGCCCGGATGTATTTTATAATGGTCCAGCAATGATTTGCGTTTTCGATATGACTTCGGGCACTGCAGGCATTGATAACTGGGTTTCGCCTTCTTTACACCAGTACCTGCACCGCCGCCTCCTCCAACACCACCCGGCGGTGCTTGAAGCGAAGTACTGCTGCTACTACCACCATCAATTAGCTGCTGCTTTGATTCCATATCATCCAAATCATGTTCGTCCAAATCATCGTCTTCATCGTGTGATAAATCATTATCGTCCAGGCCTAAAGATATGTTCAAGGAAGCGGAGGAAATTGAACCTGAGGTTGAGGCGGATGTCGAAATGCCGCTCATTGCGTTGCTGCTCGGCGTTGCACATATGGAGAGCATATTCGCCATGGTTGGTGCCGAAGATGCTGTAGCTGGTGTTGGTGCCGTGCAAGCGGAAGACGTGTCGGCGTGTTGTTGCAGTTGTTGTTGCTGTTGTTGCAAATTTAGCTGTTGCTGGTGTTGCTGCAGCGCATCTGCATGTTGTTGGTTCATATGTAACATTGGCAGCGCGTGCTGCAATTGTTGGCGCTGTTGATGCTGAAGCTGCTGCTGTTGTTGGTGTTGTTGTTGCATTTGCGCATGCGCCGCTACCGGAGACTGCTGTTGTCGCTGCTCCTGCAGTGTGGGTGACGAGTGCGACAGCAGCTCCGAATTAAAGTGCTGCTGGTTTTGCTTTTGTTGCATCATGGCGGACATGCCACCACTCTCGAGTATATTGTCAATACTGTTTATAAACGCTGGCCTTTGTTGCTGCATGCGTTGTTGTTGCAGCTGCAATTGTTCCTGCAACTGTTGCTGCTGCTGTTGTTGCTGCAATTGATGTTGTGCGTTCTCAGCCATGCCTCCCAACAACGTTAGGGGATGTGCTTGTTGTTGCAGGCCCCGCTGCGGCTGTGAAGTGTTGTCTAGCTTTTGATTTTGCATTATTAGCCTCTGTTGCTCCTGTTGTTGTTGTTGTTGGTGGTGGTAGTGCTGCTGTTGCTGAATTGCCAGAAAATGTGGCTGATTCGCATTCAGCACACTGTTATTGAAGTTCTCAGGCGTTCTATTCAACAACGCGGAATCCCCACTGGAACCACCCACACTGCTGCCACCACTGTTACTGCAATTATTCAGTCCTGGTAAAAGCATAGCTCCAACTTTGGCGTTCAGGCTGCCGCTGATGCCAACGCCCACCGTGGCTGTCTCTGGCTCATTTTTCCGGGACTCATCGTCGTTAAGTGCAGCAAATGGTGGCGAATTCACCTGCTGTTCGCTGCGGGCTTGTAGATATTGCTTCGAAAAGTTTTGTTGTTGCTGATGTTGTTGTGATGGCAAAGTACTACTTTGCTGTTCGCTCTGTGCGTTAATGTCGTGCAGCGTTTCCGCTTGCGGCTGCAGCTCCTTGGGAGCCAAACTCGGAAGATCACCAACAATATTCGCCAATTGCTGACTGCCTTTGCTAAGATTATTTATATTATTGCTTGCTGTAAGGCCATTTATCACAAGGTTGCTGTTTCTGTAAAGCAGAGCGTATGAAATGTACATTAATTGTTGTTGCACGCAAAAATTTAAAAAAAAATAGCAAAATGTAACAAAATTTAACCTACCCTTGTTGTTGCAGAGGTTTACTGATACTGTTCAAGCATTCACTTGCCGTACCTTCACCTTCGACTAACACATCGGCTTCCGCATTAAGCGTCGGTGCCGCTATCGCTGCCATGGCAGAAACACTTTCAGGCGTCGCGGCGACCAAAGCTTGCAGGTCTGTATTGGCGCCGCCATTGCTGCTATTACTATGGCCACTACCGCTGGCGCTACTGCCGCCCAACGCATCTTCGATATCAGAGCCCTCTTCCATGCCACGAACCAGATGACAAACGCCCACATCCTCATCAAGGATCTCCTCGAATTTCAACATCTCTTGCGTTGCTACCGTAGACGACATTTGCGACTCAGACTCCGACTCCAGGTCAGAGTCAAATGAGATGGCAGGTAAAAGTTGACGCCTTTGCGATGCAGCAGCAGCCACTGCCAATTTGCGCAAGCGCAACTGTTGCCATTCATCCAAACGTTGTTTGCGCAACTTTTCTAAAACATGTGAAGGCGGACATGTGCCCAATAGCTGGCCAGATCGAATGAATTTCTTATAGAATTTTCTTAAAAAAGGCATATGCTCTTCAGTTAATGCCGCATGTAGACGAAAACGAAATAGCTGTTTGTAAGCCCGCACATTGAATTCGCCCGTACTGTGATGGTAACGGATGGTCCATTCATTTTCACCGTTGAAGCAGTATTCATCCTTAACATTTGTGGCTCGAATACTCTGCACGCCAGTACTGGACAAACAATTATCGCTAAGCAATTTCGAATAATGGTTGAGTTTATTGTTTTTGTTGTGGTGACGTGACAAACTTCGCACTTGCTCGTCACAACTCGACAAGACATTCCAACTGTTATTGCTGTCTTCACCAATTAGACTTACACTGGTGCCTATCGCTCTATCGCGCGCGTTTGCTTGCTGCAAGGAGCCACGGCAGTTTGTTTTTATCGGGTTTCTGGTGTTGATGATGGACGATGGTATCAGATCGAGCGGATCTTGTTTAAGTGCACGATTACTGTTATTACATTTTAGTCGTCTACTAGTGGAAGACGAATTTTCCGCATCTGCATCGGCATCGACGTCCATGTGCACATCACCATCCCCATCACCATCACCATCACCATCTCCATCTCCATCCACATCCTCATCGTCCTCGTCGAGACACGTTATCTCCTCCTTACACAGAATCTTCTCGAAATTTTGATTCAGATCTGTGGAGCCCTCATCCTCCGTTTTAATCTCTTCCTTTTTGGCAGTGAGCAACAGCTGCAACTGTTTCTTGTTTGCCGTTTTAGTCGAGCTGGCAAATTCATCGGTGATATGCGGGAAAAGGGATCTCGTTACACGTTCACAAGCTTCGGGATATCTACATTTCAACGTACGTAGAAGATAGTGCAGAGCATCGCACTGTGATGCTGCATCGAGACTGTCGAGCAGATTTAGCGACTGCCCTACCTGAAATCGACAGAAATAAGCAAGAAAAAAATAAGAAATATATTAGATTTAGTTTTGAAAAAGGATAGATACAAAAAAATAGCGTAAGCAACCTTAATTTCTACTTAAACTGCTAAAAAAAATCTGAATAAGACTCAAGACACAAGAAAAACGTGAGTCATTTCTCTACGATCTTCCTTAACCCCGAACCGGTGGCCCCTAAATTGTTTTGCATCCGTGGAAAAAGCTATTAGTCGAAAGGAGCAATGTCTGGAGTATACGGCGGATAGAATGAGAACTCTAATTTCAGGTAGCTTTTACCTGTTAAAGCCTCGTCAGGCCATTTTTCAAGCAATGCACGGCTCAAACGAATTATTTTCACCTCGGTTTTAGCAGCTCATGTTATTGCACACACGTCTAGGCCCGCAAGGACGCTCTTTATCTTCGACGCTAAAATCATGGCTTTTGAAACTTCGAAACCACTCCTTGCATGACTTAGTAGTCGGTTCAGATTCGTCACAAACTTACACAATCATTCGATGAGCCTCAGCTGCCCTTTTCTTCCAATTAATACAGAAAATGAAAACTTCCCACGATTAATTTTTTTTTTTAAGAATACAAAGTGTGTTCAAAATAAAAAATAAAAACGTTAATTTTATATTTTTTAAACAAATAAATTTTATTTAATCGTGTATATTGATGTTGCCACCTTCAACCCGCCCGTTAGAGATTAATTACTTCTTTCGATTTTTCTTCCAATCAACAAACTTTCCGTTAAACCAAACCTGCTGTTAAAGCCTAAAGTAATCGATTAATCAGTATTATAAGCCTAAAATACAATCGATAGAAACAACTATGTAAATATATGGATTTGTATAAGAATTTCCTCTCTAGTTAATTCTTATTAAAACTAAAAATCGATTTTTTTATATACTCTTTCCACCATTTTTTGACTGTAGGTACTGCTAGCTAGCTAAAACAAATTAATTTTGCAAATGTAATCAATTTATTATACGAAAAACGGTCAAAATAAAAAGCGCGTTTATATAAGAAATACTAACAAAATAAATATGTACTACAATATGTACTACATACATACATATATACATAAATACATACACTGTTATACTGGTGAGTGTATGAATGTAAATAAAGTATCGTCACGAAATTAAAATACACTGTTACATTCATACATTTGTACAAAGCACATGTACAGCTGCGCGCATAAAAAGTGTAGTATACTTCTGCACAACTAAAAATTTCTTACATACATATAATTTCAGTATAAAAACTACTTCAAATAATAATAAATTGCTTATAATGTGAGCTTTTTTTTGCCGCTGAAGTGATTATCGAACTTCAATAGATCCCTTTTTAATACGCTAAACCAAAGTAATTTTATGTTACTTGAGTCGGAAGATGCAACTGACCATTCTTAACGCCCACATGCAGTCTTCAATCGTCTGCAAGTGTTCAAAACTTGCCGATTCATATGAAACCCTGTCTTGGATAGCGTATCTTCATTCACCCTTAATTGTTTTCGGCAAAATTTTAAACTGAACTGTCAGCGGAACTCAGTTGATTTGTAGATTTTGGGCGCAGGAGAACTACGCTTGGAAGGAGTAACATAATTATACTCGCTAATTACTAGACTAGGCTCGAATTAGTGCAAAGAAGCCCATTATGTTCACAATATATGGCTATAGTAATCTGTATCATCCGTACACGCTAGATGGCGTTAGAAAGAAAATACGTTGACACCAACAAAGCAAAAATACGATAAATTCTACAATTTTTCTTCGATAAAGTTTGGAATCACTTGAAAAAGGCTGGATATTTAAATAAGGTCGATGTATATGTCTCACATGAGTTACTTAAAAAAAACCTCGTGGATCAGATTCCCATCTGCCAACCGCTGGTGAATCATAACAAAATCGATCAATTTCTAAAACGGATGGTGACAGGTGATGTCAAATGAAAACGGTTATGGTGGATTGACGATGAGGAAGGTTTTTTTGTGTGTTTGGTGAGATTCCCAAGGAATCATGCACTTTGAGCTGCTCCTCTACGACTACGGCCTTTACTGTCAGCAATTGAACTGTCTGAATTAAGCAATCGCCCAAAGACGCCCAACTTTGGCCATTGGGAGCGGAATTGTGTTTAATGAGGACAACGTCAGACCACTCAAATCGATAGATACTAGCCAGAAGCAGCGAGAGCTTGGTTGGAAGATTCCAATCTATTCACATCATAGTTCGGATCTCGCACCAAGTGGTTACCGTCTGTTTCTGTCTATGGTGAATTATTTGGCTGGTGAAAAACTGGCCTAAAGAGAAGCCTGATTGATTTTTAAGGGTAAGATGCCGAAAATATTTTCGAAAAGTAGAATTACTATTTTAAAGCTTGCAGCTGTATATACATATGTATTGTACTACAATCAGCATATACACACATACATACATATATGCGCATTTACTTACGCAAATATGTAAATATCTAAGTATATACGTTAGATTATGTACGGGTAAATGTATCTATGTATATATATACATACATACGTGTATATATGTAAGTACCTAGTTTGAGTAAATGAATGAAAAGCACGATAATCAAGTTCTATCCACATTTACCCTGCACCTCTTTTGGCAATGTCTGTACAAATATACACAGAAATTTGTATATTTATGCATATATGTGTATATCTACACAGTAGAGGTATGATTGTAGGTATGTATGTACCTCTGTCGTTGGTTTGACTGTAACTCCTGCTACATTCATAAAATTATTATGTAGGTATAAATGTATGTACATACAAACATACATATGTATGTACATATATATAGTTTGCGCGAAGCTTTCTAGCCAACATGTTTTCCACCCATTCCTCTTTTCTCTTCTGCATCGCCGTCTGCTCTGCCATTTATTACTCTGCCACCTACCCAACCAACTAGCTTTGGAGGTACATACATATCTCTACGTGTATGTTTGTACAATATACATATATATATATAGGTATGCATGTATATTTAGTATATTTATATGTATGTATATGGCATGAAATGTTTACGTTTTTTTTTTATTTGCTTCAGACGATTCATAGAAAATGCATAAAATGCGCTAGAAAATCTAATACATTTTTGTAATTTATAATATTTAGAAGATATCCGTTATCTTACATATTTACACACATATGTAACTAAATTTATGTATATTCTTATTGTATGACCTTAAACATTATAAATTATCTACAGAAAATTGTGTAATGCAATTAATTGCGTATATTTGTATGTGAAATGTATTTATTTATGGATTTGAGATGACGTATTCAAGGATATAAAAAACTACGTTGATGTAAAATGAATCAGTTAAATTTTCGTAAATTCTATGACAACACGTTTTATACTTGCACAAACCTCATTTCATTCCAACTGGAACTGGAAATAGTGTTTGTTGCTTTGCAATTCCTTTTTTCAGACAAATTTACAATAGTAATTCCCTCGACTATAGTGACACCTAGCGGAGTTCTTATAATTCGACCTTAGCGAAAATTTCTCAGCCGCGGCATCTAGCGACATCTAGCGACTCTTTTATACAATTTGAGTTAAAATATATTTGTTTGAATTAACTTATATAGGGTTAGTACCAAAAGTACAGGCCTATATTTTGGCGTTTGTCAAACTTAACTATCAAACCAAACTTGTTTTGTTTTAGTTTAAATTTTGACATTTATGAGAATGGATCGCTTAACACCCGTTTAAAGCTTTATATCATATTTTGGACTTATATCAATATAAAAACCAAATGTGCGTTGTTGTTGTTGTTGTTGTAACCGCATAAATATTCCCCAAAGTACTTTTTGGGAAATGTTGAGAAAGTGACAGTGCTTGGTCGTTCCGGTATAAAGGCTCGACTGTTCCGGGAACTATTGAATTTTAGTCGCCTCTTACGACAGACATGCCTTACCGCGGGTAAATTCTTGAACCCCTAAAACGCAGGGGGTAATACATTTACGTCGATTGGGAGCTTGAATAACCAGCAGTTGAGTCCGACGAAGCAGATTTCTCACTCGGGGGATACCTACATAAGCAAATTGTAGCATTTGGCTCTCAAAGAATCTTCAAAAAAAAAGAGAAGAGAGGCTATTACAGCAATAAAAAAAATTACTGTCTGATGCTGCCTTTAGTTCGGAGATGTGATTAGACCTTACTTCTTTGAAACCGCAACTGCGAGACTGTCACTGTCAGTTCGGAGCTTAACTTCGTTCGTTGAGAAAGTATCTCATGATAACTGACTTTTTTTTTGGCCTGCAGTATAAGAGTACGCCTGGACAAAATGTAGTTTCAACAAGATCGTTCCACATGTCAAACAACACAAGTGAATTGGGCTTTATTGTGAGAAAAATTTCCCTATGGGTAATCTCTCATCTTGGCGGTGTCAATTGGTCACCGAGTTAGTGGGATTTGACCGTTGAATATGTGACATAAAGTTGTGTATGAAAGCCGAACCCAGATGGGATTTCCTCCATTCCGTTACTGGAATTTCCGAAACGCGACCAAATCGAGCCATATTTAAAGCGACTCATTTTGGCCAATGAAAAATGGGTTAAATACGTGAATGTGAAGGAAAAAACTACTTTAAAGCCGCCATTGACGACAAACAAGGTGATAATGAGTGTATAGAACGTTTGTAGGAGAATTTTCCACTATGAACCTAGTCAAACGATCAATTACTTACAATTAAAAAAAAAACACAAAATAGCCCAGAATTGACGCCCCATAATTGTAATTGTAATTGAAAGAAAAATTTTTACTTTTCTTTACTTTTTAAAGGCTTTGAATTTTCCAACAATAATTTGCCTAGTTGAGTAACAGATGAATTTAGTTACAACATCCAGAGCCCCAATTTTTACATAAAGAAGAAAAATTATATACTAAAAATGAACCACAGAATGTAATTGTAAAACTACTTTTAAAATTCAACTAAAAACACACAATATTATATGTCTACATACGTGTATGTAC